CCCTGAATTTGCTCATTTTGTGTCGACAAATAATATGTTGAAATGTTTAAAGTTTGGTTTCTGGTTATAAACCAGAAACAAAGCCCCAATTTTCCCAAATTCCCAACCCCGTTAGTCAATTTTTGTCGCCCCGCTCCACTATCCGGCCACCGTTCGTTGATCCGACACCACCAATAGATTCACCATTGAACGGAGAACAAAACCTGACCTCTATCCTGTCATGAATCGGCGTCGTTCACTGTAAAACTTAACCGAAAGCTTAGTCGGTTTTAAGTCTATCGCTGTTGGTTTTCTGTCAATTCCGGTTGATCCGGCCACCCGTTCATCACACCTTCTACACCATCGGACTCACAGTCACCGTGTGTTCAAAACCCTACCAAAATCATCATACCGTTGTTGCTCCATCGTCCTCACTCACCGATCACCGTCGAATATGTTGGTACATTTTAAAATTCTAAAATCTGTTATGTTTTGGTGAAAAATAACACTTTCACGAGACTCCCGAGGAATCGATCTACAAATAAGGAAAATTTGACGCCGAATCGACGACCGAAGCCGCCGCACGTGCCACGCCCTGCAAGTGGGCCTTGTCTGGCAGCCTGGGGAGTAGGCTGAACCGGTTTGACCAACTGACTGGTCTGAGTCAAGCCGAGCCATTGAGCCGAGCCGCTGAGTCGAGCTGTTGACCGTTGTCCAACCGTTGATCGTTGTCCAACCGTTGACCGAATGTTGACTTTTTTGGGTATACCTATCCTGACCTTTTTCGACGTCCTGAGTTCGTTTTTGAGTCTGTTTCGCCAAATTCGAACTCGGTAAGCTGTTTTTCACTAATTAACCACCCGATTCGATATGTTATTCGCAATTAAGCTTTTTTTGTGATGAAATTTATGTTGATATGAATTTGAGGAATTGTTGGAAGTTGATTTCAAGATCGAGGGCATTCGAATGGAGTTTAAATGGTCAATCAGTATGGCACAAAAACTGAGGTAATATTCTACTACCCTTTGTATGCTTTTCGGAACTCATGGATAGATGGTAATTACTTGATTGGAATAATTGGTCCGCTAGAGTAGTTAACTATCTTTGAACTCTGAAAGAAATAAGATTACAGACGGAACACTGTATAAGACTCTTATGGCTCGAAAAAGAAATTAGTATACTGATCGAAAATAAATCTCAGTTCAATTGAACAAATCAGTGAATCAATCAATCCTAGAACGCATAATTTTCTGATTAATCTCATTAAGGATTAAATGTAGGAAATATTTGGATATGAAATTATCGAAAAGAGCACCATGGATAAATTACAAAAATGCCCTTGTACTAAAAAAGGACCAAGACTTCCCTATTGGTGAAATTAACCTCCAGTGAGCAAATAAGAAAAATACTCTAAATTTTAATGGAACTAGAATGTAAATGACCCAAGAATATCACTAAGCCCAAGAATGATTGGACATCCTTAAGCTCTGAAATGACTAGAATAACGTTGAGCACCAAAATGACCAAAATGATTCGGATAACCCTGTAATCGCTGACGAACTTACATGATGTACCTTCCCTAAGATCCTTTCCGCGATGATTCTTAAGATGATCAAATTGACAAGAATTATATGTATTAAAAAGTGAATACTCTAGAAGTGCAACGATTTGATCAGTTGATAAGTATCATTGATGGGACTTGTACAGTTTGGGTTGACTCGATATTTTGATAGGTCGGCACAAATCGTAAATGCCTCGAATCTTCATTCTCCCTTATCAACTTAAATCATTCTGGTCATATTTGAAAACACAAGTAACTCAGATGTAAAGGATTTTGAATACCCTTCTGATTACTTGGTGCCTCCGAAAAACATTTGAATACTAAATGATCCTGATAAATCACATCCTGAATAGCTGATGATCCCGTCAGCTAATAAACTCTTCCGATAGTGATTCTAATTTCTGACATTCTATCGGTATACTAAAGATCAGTGTTTCTCTCCTCGATAAGATTATCCAGTATCTACGAACCATATCTGAAACCTCTAGTATGTTACCTTATCACCAGGATATTTTCTCTGATTTCTGTTTTGATCTCTGTTCTGATTTATGATATTTGTTATGATTTCTAATCTCTGTTCTGATTTCTGATATCTTTGTTTACTGAATGAAAATGTTTTATTTGGGATACTCTAAGATCTGGTATGAAGACTCTGACAGGTTCAGTCGTTATTGGTAATTCCTTGTATAGGTTCAACACAGACTGGTAATTCATTATGGACCTAAGGCGACTCTTGGGTGGGCTCCTTGGCCTAATAGGCCTAGTGGTAAGACCTTATGGACTCTAAGGAACTCCCTTATGGTGGCTCATCTATTGTGTGCATTGGGTAAGTCCTTATGGGCTTGAAGGCACTCCCCTCAGGTGGGCACCTACGCTTCGGCTAGGGTAAGACCTTATGGACCCAAGGTGCTCCCTTAGGTTGACACCTATGTCCTTTTGGGGACTAGGGTAAGTTCTTATGGATGCAGTTCTCGGAACTGCATATTGGCGTCCGGTTGGAGGGACTACTATGGTTTTGAAAACATGTTTTAAATAGTTATTGTTTAAAAAGATCTATATATTTTCAATGGTTTTGTGGGAACACACTAAATAACCTATCTTAATCTCCTGAACCCAGTCATCCGAAATATTTCCCTCTGAACTGAAAATTTCTGTCTGTTACTACCTGAGATATCAGTGGGACCTCAGCTTAGCCTAAAAATATATAGATGTCTGAACCAATAAGGAAACATATGCTTATCTGTTATGCATGTTCTCCAGCATCATCTGGTAGTTCTGTATTACTGAGCTTCCCAAAGCTCACTCTGTTACTCACCATTACATGTTAAAAAGGGTTGAACCAATGCAGCTATGGACATCCGTAAGGGAGTTTCTCCGGCGTTACTGGCAGAGTATGATACATGTGATTAGGGGGCATGTAGATTGTATTTTGTTTTATATCTAAGTCTAAAAACCTATTTTATTTTTTAATATTTATAAATGATTTTACGAGTTTACATGTTTTAATAAAAGTTTTAAATTTTCTGCTATTTTTACGGTGGTCGTTCCGGTGGCCCTAATGTGACACCCCAGATCGGATCGGGTTACCCACATCGGTCTGAGGCAACTTTAATCTTTTTCATTGTATTATCCTTGTGTGATCTCAATGGTTAGATTTCTTGTGTTAATAGTTATAAGAAAATATCTCTATTATTTGTTTAATTTACTATTATAGTTATAAATTTTCATTACAATTCTAGATATTTACTCTTTCTTTTTTTCTTTTTTTTGGTAAGTAAAGGGCTATGCTAAACTATAAAACTATCAAGCTGTTCTTCCTAAATATTTTCTCTATCTAATAAAACTAATAACTTTATAAAAATGATATTATCTTTGTTAAAACAGTATGGATTCATAGGGAAAAATATACACAGAAATATTATCACGTGCCTCGTTAAAAGCCCCTAATCCTAATCCGATGAAAATAGTACACATGATAATACCAAAAAGACCTAAACAACATCAAACAATTAAAACAAATGGCCAAGCCAAACGTAAAAAACCAAAACGAAAATCCACCAGAAACAAATGTCAAAGGCTGTCGTAATCTTCATGCATAATAGCATCCACTCACGCAGGAGCAGTGGCAAAGAAGGTGACCTAAAAAAACTGAAATTTGCACCCTTAGCCAACATATCAATCACTTTATTGCCATCGCAACGGACATATTGAATCTTGATAATCTAATTACGGTGACGAAGATCGGACAAATACTTGCTCAAAGGATGAGAACCGTTACAAAAACGATCTTTCACCTATTTTAAGTATAATTATTATTCAAATATAATTCAATCTATTTCAAGTACAACTATTATTCTAATACAATCCAATATTTCCTCTTCGACAACCATGATAAAAAGAAATTCATGATTATATAAAATTTTACATATCAAATAATTATAAAAGTATCATATATAAAATAAAACGAAAAAAAGATATTAATAATGAAACATAGCATATATCAAATACTAGTTATAAACAAACATATAAAATGATAAAAAAACAAATCTTTTGTGATGAAAATAAAACATATCAAATATACTAAAATTTTGATTTACTTGTATTTATTTATATTTTACTTAAATGAAAATGTTTTCATTAGTATATAATTTAATAATGATAACTAATATAAAATAATTATTTTTTATGTTCCATTTATATAATTAAGGATAGACATAAATCGGATTTTTAATCAACCGACCCGAAAATATCAGATTTTGGAGCCTTTCCTGTAAACTTATTTGTACGTTACTTGTTTGAAATCTTTTGTAATTTTGCACCCATTTTAAAGGCATAATATTAAAATTACTTTTTAATGTTAATTAAAATGATCCTTTTGATCTCTATTTTCAAAAATATTTTGGTCCTCAATACTTTATTTTAGAATAAAAAGATATTTATTTATTTTAGTGATAATAGTTTATTAACTTAAAGTTTTCATTCATAATAAATCCTTTTTGTCCCAAAATAAAATATTGGAATCAAAATACTTAAAAAAATTAAAGATTAAAGTTACTGTTTTAATTAATGTTGGGGCTAATTTTGATAATATCTCCCCATTTTGATGCCACCGAACAATTGAATCACAAGTTGTTTGAAAAAATACAAAATTCTGACGTACAATGGGCAGTCCACGAGCAACAACTAATAGTCCACTTATGTCTAAAAGGAGGGTGGCTCTAAGTCACGTCATAATCACAGAAATACATCCAACTTCCCATAATTATCATCCTCAATTACAAATATTCTAGTGAAGTGGACGCTAAGAAACTAACCCCAACACTAATTATTACTTTCCATTAGCTAATTATCATCCAACTCCATTACTAACGACCTTGCTTTACTGTCACTTGCATCAGTCTCTCTGTTGTATTAAAGAGAGATCTTTGTGAATTCATTCAATTCCTACATAGTGCGAGCCATGGAAACGGAAGAAGGTGGTGGCGCTGTCGTCGTTGGACGGGTGGAGATCGATACCAGAGCACCCTTCCGATCAGTTAAAGAGGCTGTCACGTTATTTGGAGAAAAAGTCCTGGTTGGTGAAATTTATGCCAACAGGCTGAAAGAGGTTTTTCTCTTTTATGTATACTCTGAATATGATATTAGATTCTAGGATAAATTATAGGTTTAGTTGTTCTAAATTTAACAGAATTACTAACGTTATATTTCTTTACTTTTTCACGTTAGCATCACGGAAACGACACGAAAGCTGGAGCTGGAAAAAGTGGGAAAGATGAATCAAAGATTGCAGCCTTAACAGCCCAGCTAGAAGAACTAAAGCAAAGCTTGCAAAAGGCAGAAGAGGACAACAACTTGATGTCGTATCGCTTAAAAGCACTAAGAGAAGAGATTGAACAAAAGAAAAAGGAACTGGAACAGTTGAAGGGCAGAGAGTTGCAGAAGCAACAGTTGGATCCCCATATGGAAGACTTCAAATTCATCAAAGACAAAGAGGCGGAGGGGTTACAAAAGAAGAGATACGTGAAATTCGCTAGCCCTCCTTTGTTAGCCCAAGTCATCGTCAACAAAGACGAGATGCGGGAAAAACCAGACAGGGTCAAGAAAGCTACAAGGAAGACATTAATCGCCATTATCGGATGGCTGTTCCCCAAGAAGAAAGAAAATCAAGAAGAAGATCATCAGTCTTTGAGGACAAACGAGGTCCAGAGGCATTATTATTAGCTGAGAGAGCATGCAACATTTTTGTTGGGGTTTCCACCGAAAGATGGGAGCTACATGTGTAATAATATGATAGATAGGTCAGAACATGAAATAAACTAAGTTAGTGTTACATAAAATTTGGAGTGTGATTAATGTTCATGAATGCCACATCTTCACAGTTATCACCTTCTCCCTTCTTTCCTTTTCTGAAGCCCAAAACATCACTGTCGCGATTTGAAGAACAATTTCATACACAAGGGGTTCAATGTTTGTTTTACCTTATAGACGAATATAATATTTTATATTAGAAGTAATGTGTAGACACCCGTTTTTATCCGAGTCTTTATTTAATTATTATTATTATTATTATATTAATACAAATTATTATTACATTTTTGTAGGCCCGAAAATGGAGCCCAAAGAAACCGGCCAAAATAGAAAATGGAACCCAAAGAAACCAGCCCATTACATCAACCCGAAGCCCATTACAAACAGCATTCAACCCCACCCAACAGATTACAAACCTACCCAGATCCAACAAATTAAGCCCCAAACTCGGATAACCCAGTAGCCTACCAGGATTCGACCCGGCTCGATAACCATACCCTAGGGTTTTTAAAACCCTAACCCTAGGGATTTGATGCTACCGCCGCCGCCAGTTTCTACTGCTGCCACCGAAGATGATTCCCGAAGTTGTCGTGTCATAAAGCTTGCCAAAAAGTGACCACATCGATCACCATCAGTCAATAAATCCCCATTAAAAAATATATGAGGAAATCCTTAGGAAATTCCGAGGAAATCGAAGGTCTGTAAAAAAGGATGTCCCTTCTCTCAGTCATCAACATGCATCGATATAAATCAAAAGAGAGAGATTTCGGGGGAAAGAAAAAGAAGAAGAAAAGGAGGAAAAATCCCAGAGCATCCGAAAAAGAAAATCAAGAGAGACACAAAAGAAAAAAATGGAAAAGAGAGAAAAGAAGTAAACCGTATCTCACCTTGGTTGGAAGAACTTTGAAAGCCCAAAGGTCGCTTGATTGTTGTTTCTTTTCGAAAGGTATCTTCTAGATCTAGGGTTCTTGAGAGTTAGGCTAAAAGGATTTGGGTTATGGATTGAGGGTGAGACGAGGAAGCTTTTGTGGGGTTTTCTCTCTCTCCGGCCACCATGCTTCGCCGGGAGCGCCACCGTGAACGCAGTCGGCGTATGGCGGTTCCCTCTTTCCGATGAGGGGAAGTTGAGAGAGTTTCCTTCCCTTTTTTGAAACCGAACGAAAATGAGAAAGTGGAGAAGGGAAGCCCTTAAATCGAGCTTATATAATATCCGCAAAACGAGGTAGTTTTGATGAGGGTGTGTCTATAATTTAGTGTATGGGTTATTGGCTAGATAGGTCCTCCGTAGTTGTAACTTTTTTATTTCGATCATCAATGAAATATTTACTTTTTCTTGTTTTGGTTCTCTATGTTGTCATACATTGTGATTTCGTCCTCGTTTGCCCATTTATTTTTATGTTTATATTCGGATCCAAGCCATTGTATTTTAGTTCATCCACGTTTAAGCAGCACAAGTTATGTTTGTTTCATTTTAGTCACCATCTTTAGTACTTTATTGTTTTGGGCTAATTGCAGTATAGGTCCTTGCTCATGTGTAATTTATCATTTTAGTCAGTAATGAAGCTTTGTGTTATCCTGTTTTAAGCCTATATTTTTCCAGTGTTTACATTTAAGTAAATTGTACACATATTATGCTATATTTGCTTATATTCGAATTTGACCCTAAGGTTTTGCTTTTTTTATCACTATTTAATATGAATGTATTTAGGTATAATTACTATTTGCCCTTTGATGTTTTTATTTAATTTATTTTAGTCATTAATGTTGTTTTTGGATTATTTTCATTTCCAGTAATTATTTGTTTCATATATGTGATTATGATTTTGGTTTGTTTGTAATTTTATTTCGATTCTTCAAATTTGTGTTAGTACTATTTTGGTCCCTTAAATCGAATATGATTATTTTTCATTATTTGTATTTGGACCTATAATATTTTATTTTGTTCTAGTCCTTTATTCATATGTATATTTTGTAAATTACGGCTTTATGTATTATTCTATATAGACGTTATTAGCTCTGTGTGTTGCGAATATCATATTTTGTAGATTTCAAATTTTATTTGTTTTCAGTGTTTTTCGTTATCTATTAATATGTTACTCGAATGATTTTCAAGAACGCCGATTTGTAGAATGATCGTGGAAAGCATCACTTGGTCGAAGTGGTGCGATCCGATATAGCATTTTAACGAAATGGGAACTTGAAATAAATATAATTTATTTTATTAATTAAATATTTTTATGTGAATGATTCGATGCGTTTTTATTTTATGCTAATGTCAATTTTCAGTTTATATCCGATACACATTTCTATCGAGGAGGGAATATTCTTTACAGATAAGAAATAGGCGAGATAGCTTCCCGATGGAGGATTGCTAATCTCGAGATTTCTTTTCAAGCTAAAGAATTTTCTCTAATTAATTAATTCGAAGCAAATTAACTAAACTTTAATAAATTAATCATATTTTAAATTTATATTCGATTCATAATTTCCACCACTTACAACAACGTGTAGGCGACTAAGTACCAATTTTGGACGTTGTGGGGGTGTTAATCATTCCCTACACGTAATCAACTCCCGGACCCATTAAATCAGATTTTTTGGTAAACGCATACAAATTTTTGTCTTTAAAAACGATTTTCCTTAAATTTGTTTTAAAACACGTTTTTAGGTATTCGACTTACCTAGCCCAAAGGTTGATGACAACTCTTTTCAATTTAATTGAAATCAATCCTAAATCACCCAAATTTTCAAAATAAAGTCATAACTGTTTTTTTAAAATAATAATTTAATTGTTTTCTAAAAAATGGTTATGACATAATGAATTTATAAAATTTTAGAAAAATAAAATTATTTCATTATTAAGTTGACGAAAACACTAGCTGCTCTCTCTCCCCCTCTTTTTCCCTCATTTTTTTTCTTTACAATTTGTGCAAATTTTATAAATCAATCAATTTTTTCTTCTTTAATTTTTTTAACCGGTGGCAGCACCAGTTTTGATACTAATTGTCAACCGTCGATTGTCTTTTCTCTTTGTTTTTAGTTTTTTATTAAGAATAATTTTGTCATTGTGACATATTTATCTTTGCATTTATGGCACATTTTTGTGGCACGTTTTTTCTTGCTTTTCGGTAGTTTTCTGTCTTTTGTCCATTGTTTTCATTTTTTTTTTCTCGGGGTTGGATTTGACATCGCCACGACTAATCAAGATAGTGCTTATTTGTTTTCATGTTGATCTTCCCTACTTTTGACTCTCGGATTGATTTGGATACGCTTTTTGTGCTCGTGGATACTTTTCTCATATCACTTGACTATGATTTACGATTTTTCGGTGGTCTTTCAATAGTTTCATCTCTTTTGTGGTTTGTTTGCAGATGCAGTCAGATTTATTCGTATATTTATTTTGTTCGAGCATTGGTTAGGTTTTTTTAACCTTTTCCTTTTACTGTCTTTTTGTAATCTAGGTGACTAGTTTTTGTGTCAATAGTTATAGGAAAATGTCCTAATTATAATTTAGTTTACGTTTATACTTATAAATCTTCATTGTAATTTAGGATATTTTCTATTTTTAATAAAACTGGCGGCTTTCTATCAAAGTTTTTTTTTTAGAAAAACGAATTTATAAATTTTTAAGATGGATAAAATTATAACATTTTAGAAGCGTAAAAAATATTATAAATATAAAGAAAAATATTTAAATTATAGGGTAAACTACTTCAAATACCATCAACCTTTAATCTTTGACTCGTTTATACCACTAACGTTTCAATTTTGTTAATTTTAGCACTAATGTTTACTTTTAAGTGCAATTATAACTCTCCTCCGTTAATGATTTAACGACATGATGACATGGCAGCTCTGCGCCATGATGCTGTTGACGTGATGTCACACCAAAATGACGTCGTTTTAACACAATTATTTTGGTGCTCAATAAACACAAAATGAAAAAAGAATTATTAAAATTTTATGGTTGAGGAGATTTGAACCATAAACCTATGCCACTTAACCTTAATGCTTAATCATTGGGCTACCTTAAACTTTTTTTTTCTATAAGATTTTTAAAAATCTTTGTTCATAGAAGAAATATTGTTCCAAACAAGACAATTCATCATCATTGTTCATGACAGAACATGAAATCATGGTTTCTTGATAACTCAACGTTGAGAATGATAATCAAGAAAGGTAAAAAAACCTTCACCAAGCTAGAGTAAAGCCACAGTAAGGAGGAAGAATGAGAGATTGAAAATCAAGTTTGGAAATGGATTGAATCTAAATAAAAATCAACAAAGGATTTGAAAGAAAAGAGGATGAAGGTTTTACCAATTAGAGAGAACAAGAGAAAATGAACGTGTTTGGATGAATAGCAAAAACATTAGGGAGTTATAACTAAATTTTGATAAAAAAAGGAAAACTATATTAAAATTATTTAAAAATGGATTAAAACCAAAATAAAGAAATTAAAAAAATCAAGAAGAGTATAAAAATTTAAGTTCACAATAAAATAAGAAAATAAGGAGAAAATATCAACTCTTGGTATGATTGCTTCATAGGTTTTAATAATTCAATCTTATTCCATTTTAGTCATTAAAATCTTACTTTTAAACTTATTCAATTTATTCACTCAATTAACCCAAGTCAAAATTGATATTAATATTCTAAAATAATTTATACTTTAAAAATTCTCAAAAAATGACTTCTCCATAAATCTAAAAAATTTACCGAACCACCGAATCTAAACTACTAACTCGGATTTTGGGATGTTACAATACTTGTACTTGGCATTCCCGTTTAGCGCATACTTTTTTGTTCACACTGAATAAAATTCCTTTTTTATACAGTCACTTGACTTGGGTGTACTTGATGAAACTTAAGAGTGAAACTTCTTCAAAAATAATTTTTCCACCATTTTCAAGTTTGTTCGTAGTGACAATGACTCTGGTTTATTGGTTCTGAGTGCTCTAGCTTTTTTTCTAGCCTTGGAATAACACATTAATGTTTTTACGTTCGTACTCCATAGTAAAACGAAGTTGTTGAGAGAAAGCATAGACATATTTTAG